GGACAGGAAAGGAGGACGACAGTGAGCTCCCCGGGCCTCTCTGCCCAGCCCGAGTGAACCGTGCCGTCCCTCAAGGGTAAACACTCCATGTGGCCAGGAGAACTTTGATGGCTGAAAGGTCAGGCCCACAGCAAACATCACGGTCCAGGGCAGCCCAGAGCTTTCCCTCTGAGAGCAGGAGCAAGACGAGTGTCCACTCTCCCACCTCTATTCAACACCGTGCAGGCCGTTCCAGCCTGAGCAGTCGGGCAGGGAAAAGAAATGAAATTCAGTCTCTTGTAGTATTCTATATCCAGTGTCTTGCAGTAACATATAATGAAAAAGAATGTGAAAAGGAATACATGTAAGTTAAAAAAAAGAAATGAAAGGCACCCAAAGTGGAAAAGAAGTCAAATTATCTCTGTTCAAAAAGGACATGGTCTCATGTATAGAAAATCCTAAAGATTAGACACACACACCAACAACAGGTAGAACTAATAAAGAATTCAACGACGCTGCAGGCTACAAAATCAGCACAGAGATCAGCTGTGTTTCTGTCCACAAACACAGCGACCAATATAAGATGGAAATTAGCAAATCATTTCACTTACAATAGCATCAGAAAATAAATAAAATACTTAGGAATAAACTTAACCAAGGAGACAAAACACTTGTCCAGTGAAAATCATGGGTGGTTAATTACATGTTCACTCGGCCAGGCCACAGAGCCCAGATACTTGGTTAAACGTTATTCTGGACATTTCCATGAATGAATGGGTAGAAAATGCACTATACATATATACACATCTCAGTCCGTTCAGGCTGCTATTAAAAAACACCAAGATTGGGTGTCTTATAAATCACAGAGATTTACTTCTCACCATTCTGGAGGCTGGAAGCCTGAGATCAAATGCCCGCAGATTCATTCTGGGAAGAACCTTGTTCTGTCTTCCTGCTGCCTCCTCACGTGGCAGCAAGGGCTGGGAGCCCTCTGAGGTTCCTTTATGAGGGCACTGACCCCGTTCATGGGGCTCCACCCTCGTGACCTCATCACCTCCCAAAGGCCCGACCCTGACACCATCACACCGGGAGCTGGGGTTCCAATATAGGATTTTGGGGGGACACAAACACTCAGTCTATAGCAACATACAAGGAATATTATTCAGCCTTAAAAAAGGAGATTCTGACACAGGCTACAGCATGGATGAATTTTGAAGACATTATGCTGAGTGAAATAAGCCAGTTGCAGAAAGACAAGTGCTGTCTGATCCACTTACATGAGGTCCCTGGAGGAGTCAGACTCATAAAGACAGAAAGCAGGAGGGTGGGGGCCAGGGACTGGGGGAAGGGGAGTGAGTGTTTAATGGGGACAGAGTTTCAGTTTGGGAAGAAGGAGAGATCCTGGAGGTGGACGTGGGTGGTGGCGTTTGTACAACAATGCAAATGGACTTAATGCCACTGACCTGGATACTTTAAAATGGTTAAAGTGGTAAGTTTTATGTTGCGGGTGTTTTACCATAATAAAAACAACCTGGGGCGCCAGTAGCCTGGGATGCAGGGTCCATCCTGGAGTCCAGAGCAGCTGCCAGGGCGGGAAGACCATCTCTGGGCGCCACGGTAAGTGCAGTGCAGAGGGCAGAGGGCAGAGGGCAGAGGGCAGAGGGTGCGGTCACGGGCAGGGCTGTGCGGGGCCTTCCTCCACGTGGTTCCGCACGGGGCAGCGGTGTCCACCTGCGGCCCAGCCTGGTCTGTGCCCAGGGTCAGATGGCTCACTGGCTTTGAGCTGTGGCCTCGGCCACCTCTGTGGGGCCCCCTAGCCATGGCTACACGGAGCCTGAGGGAGATTTCCCAAGTCCCGGCGTCAGCTGCTGGGACGTCCAGCACCACGCCAGACCCGCCCTGGGAGTCTCAGGAGTGTGAAAGTCCCCCAGACGGGCTACCTCCCAGGGGTCACCACTGACACAAGCCTGGCCTCCAGGAACAGCCCAGCCTCTTTGCAACACCCCTGGCACCCAGGGCAGAAAGAGCCAGCAGGAGGCCCAGTTCCCGCGTCCTAGGGCTCCCCTGGGGGTGGGGGCCTGAGCAGGGACCTCCCAGGAACAGCTGCTGTCCCGCTGTCACCCAGGCTCACAGATAAAGGCTGACAGCTCGTGGGAAAGTCACCTTCGAGGCCACTGGGTTCAGTGCTTCCGTGTGGTGGATTTACACCTGCTGCCACGATAATGAACTTCACCAAAAGCGTGTACTGGGCCTTGAGCTATTAGCCAACGACACTAGGACAGGCGTAATTTCAAGAGAAACACAGATGGCTGCCATGTGCCAGCAACTTGTGCTGATGATCCAAAGAGCTCGGTGGCTTCCAGACTGGAAGGCAAGGCCCTCTAAGAGGCAGGGCGGGGTCCTGGGTTCGACCCTAGTATTTTCAGCTCCAGCTAGGGGACTGGGTGGGACAGAGGCCTTTCCTCAAAAAGGACCCAGGAAGGGACTGGGGACAAATGGCCGGCCACCCACAGAGGGCCTGGAAGGGCCAGCTGAGCGTCCGGAAGGGGCTGCGGTCCAATACAAGGCACTCCTCTTGGTGTCCATGTGCTCCCCCTGAGGTCAGGCTGCCCCGAGGGCGGCTCTGGACATGGCCAGGCATGCTGCGGCAGGGGTGGACACATGCCACCAGCCAGGACTGAGCAGGGCGGGCCTGCCGAGACAGGTGGCCAGAGCCCTCTCGCCCGCCCACTGGGCCACTGGAATGTGCTGGGGGGTGCGGCCCAGGGCCTCTCCCCACTCCCAGCATCTGGGACCCCGCCCGCGGGGCGCCAACGGGGCCTCTGGGGCTCTAAGAGACCCTGACCCCTCCTGGGGTCTGTGCCGACCAGGGGAAGGGAGGGTCCATGTCCTGCCTCCTTGCTTTTCTGAGTTTTCAGGGAAAACAACCAATTAAGAGTAGCAGCAATTTCACTCCAAATTTATTACTTTTCCCAAAACTGGCTTTGCTTGGTAGCTCTCAACCCAGGGCCCGCTGTGGGCTTGTCCAGAGGGGTGTGTTTAGGTCAGAGATCAGCTTCTTGACACCCACCCTCAGCTCTGCCAACCATGACGTCCCGAGAGCTCGGGCCTGTCCCCTTCCCGCCCTGCTGTGCTCACACGCGCGCGCACACCCCCGTGTACAGCGGTGGTAGGGGCCCAAGTCCCAGCAGTGCTTTTCCTCGCAAGAGGCTCCTGTGGCAACAGGTAGGTCCCACCACCTCCCCCAAGACCTTGGGGGTCTCGTTCACGGTGCACCTGCCACCGGGACCCGCCAACCTCCCAGTGCCAGCCGAGGCCCAGGGCAGGAAGACCCTTCCCCAAGTCCTCGCCACCACTGGAGTGGGCCTGGTGGGCATGGTCAGCCTGAGCCCCATGCCCTGTGGGGCTGCGGGACGCGTGGGTTTGGTGCAGGACGGGGACAGCCTGGGAGCCCTCAGGCAGCTCCAGGGTCCCCACCCCAGGCAACTCGCCCGACCCCACAGGCCTGGACATCGGTGCACCCAGCCCACGGCTCCCTGGTGCCCACTCCGCCCTCCGAGCCCCCATCCAAGGGTGTGCAGAGAGCCAGGCCGGCCCTGCCCACTGATCAAAGGACAGTCCTCACAGCTGCTCCCAAGTAGGGGCTACAGCGTCCTGCCCCACCCTTCAGCCGGGCGCCACTCGGGACCATGCTTTGGAGGTTACCTGCTGTCTCTACAGAAGTGACCACTGGCACACCAGCAATGGGCACATGCGGCTGGCGGTGGAGCGGGAATGGTCACCAGCAGGACACGCGTTCCACCACATTCCCGCCTCCCCTGCACTGGGCCAGGGTGGGCAGGGCTGTGGGATGTGAGTGGGGGCCAGGGTCCAGGGTGGGGATGTGGGCGGGGCTGTGCCGAGAAGGGTTCAGCCGCTGTCTAGGGGACAGGGTAGGAGGTGGGGGTGGGGGTGCAGGGGGTGGGCGGGCTGCGCCACCCCCCTGCAGGCAGCATCCCTCGCAGCAGAGGGTCCAGTCTCTGGGACAAGGAAGGGCGGGGAGGGGGAGGAAGGGGGAGCACCCTGGAGGACCCCCCATGGGTCTGTGACCTCGGGAGGCGTAAGTGCTGCACCGCCATCTCTTCTGTTGAACTGTCATTTGGTGCCTGGGTCAAAGGCCAAAGGCACAGGTCAAGGGCCAAGAGCACAGCCTGGACGAGGATACGGCCAGGCACCCACTACCCAGGCCCACAGTCCCCTGTGGGGTCAGAACTGGGAAGCCTGGGTTGCGGCACAGGGCGCAACTCCTGGAGGGGATAGGAGAGGGGCAAAGTCTGCCTTTACCCTCTGACGAGAAGGGGCCTCAGAAATGGGGGCCACGTCGCCCCCACCCAGAGGGAGGGTCTGGGTGCAGGAAGAGCCCCGGGCATTAAAGGGCTGGGGGAGCCAGGGCTTCCTCTGACCCCGTGAGTCACTCACAGACCCACAGCTCTGCAGCCCGAGAGCAGCCTGGCTCAGACGGTGTGTACAGGCAAGGAAGCTGCCAGGACGTGGTGACGTCCCCGAAGTGGGAGTGAGAGCAGCAGACCAGGGCCTCAGGACGGAGTGGGGAGGGAGGGAGGGGGAGGCTGGCCTGGAGGGTCTGCTGTCCCATCGGCTGGCTCGGACCCCGAGAGCTGCCAGGCCAGGCACAGCTCACGTCGCCTGCGCGTGCAGAGGAGGAAGGTGTGCGCCTCAGCTGCAGCGGGCGCAGACCTGGAGCTGCCTGTGCACGCGGGCCGCCCATGCGTGGGGCTCACACAGGCAGGACACTCAGGGTCCCCCCGGGCCCCCATTGGAAGGGGATACACATCCCAGCCTCTCTCTGCATCTGGCCCGTTTATTCCTTGGGCCGGACCCGGTTCTGGTGGGAGAGGGCTCAGCGGCCGGCGCACCTCTGTCCACTGCTCAGGGGTGGTGTCCCCTGGGGCCGCATCACCAGAGCCTTCCTGGGACAAACACCCACCCAGCTGGCTCACACCCCCAACCCCTTGGGTGCTCCTGGGGCAGGGTGGGGTGGGGGGGTAACAAGATGTTTCCAGAACCTTTAGAGGGTGGGATCCTGGAACCAAGATCCTTTCAAAGAGCAGGAAAACCTTGGCCGGAGGGTGGGGCTTTCCTTCTGTTTCCAGAGCCCTGCCGGCCAGGCCAGCAGCCGGCACTCATTTGGATCTTCAGAGGGACCAGGAGCTGCCCGACTCCTTCTGCTCTCGGGCCCAAGTATGAAAGTCAGACTTCTGCTCCTGGATGACCACAACCAGACGGCCACTCCCGACCCCAAAGCTCTCAGGGGACAAGAAATAACGGACACATCTCAGGAGTCAGAGTGACACAGGATGCTGACTGGCAGGGACCCTCAGGTGGCCCCCACCCTGGTCTGTCCACCTGTGGCCTGCCCATCTGCTGGCCCCACCCCCGTGCCATCTCCAGACCCAGCAGATCATGGGGCTTAAATGCCTCACTGCCTGAAGCCTCCAGAGCTTTCCAGGTGCCTGCCTCACCCCCAGAGTGCCATCAGCTGCGTGCAGAGTGTCAGCCCTGTTTCGCAGGCGGCCCTCCCCCTAAACGGCTGTTTCACAGCAGTTTGGCTAAACCTCAAGAACAGCTCTGGGGACAGGGCCCCATGGACACAACCGGAGCTGGGGGACTGGGCCGGAGGGGGCACACCCCAAAGCAGCCCCTCCACGTAGCGGGGGCAGGCCTCACTCCAATGAAAGACTCAGTGACCCTTGGGGACGTGTGTTGTGGCCAGCAGCCTCGACTTGGGGAGACAGTTAGCTGTGTTTTTGCTGGAGTGGTTTTCAAATCAACGGCACATCTCCTGCGGTGGAGGGGGCCAGGCGTAGTGAACCGGGTCTCTGCAAACTGGCCGTCCCTCTCAGCAGGAATGCGGGCTGAGCAAGGCCAGTGTTCTTCCGTCCTTCCAGGAAGACACCTGCCTGGGGGATGGGGAGCTTCCCCTGCACCCCAACGAGCATCTGGGATCCCTGAAGCCCCACACCCATCCCCCGGCAACCAAGCAGGTCCATGCTGTCATCAGGGACCACGTGGTGGGTCTCCCAGCCCAGCAGGACTGTGCTCTGGTGGGGTGACTGAGAGCTCCGGGGCCGGAAACCAGCAGCACCAGAGGGAGGGGCCCAGGCCCACGTCTCTCCAGCCCAGAGAGGTGCTGAGCCTGGGAACCAACCAGCCCAGCACAAGCCTGCACTTGTGCACACACATGGGCCGGGGCTCAGAGGGCCACAAAGATGACTCGAGCCGGCTCACAGCACTCCCCCGGCCCTGCTCTGAATGGCAGGCGTGGTGTTGGGGCTCCCCCTCAAAGGCTATGGCCGTGAGGATCCTTCACCAGCTCCCAGGAGTGGAGAAGGACCCGTGTCTCAACAGATATGGTCCAGCACACGGAACCCCCGGGCTCGGGGGGGCTACCCCTGAGCCTCCTCCCCGACCAGCACCCCAGAGAGAGCAGCCCCATCTTCAGGAGACCTGTGGGGACAGAAAGCGTCACTGAGAGACCCTCTAATCCGCAAGGGGCCCTTCGTATGTTCAGTCTGCAAACTGCCTCAGTAGGTGGCGTGTCCAGGCTGGGGGCCAGGATCCCTGCAGCAGGGCGGACTCGGCTGCTGGCTGTGCCGGGCATCCAGCCCACAGGAGAAGCGAGCGTTCAGCCGGGAATCCGGGTCCTGGGGTGGCTGCAACAAAGCACCACGCTGGGGAGTTTCTTCTCAGTCCGGAGGCCGAGGCGGGGAGCCTGAGACCCTTCAGCAGCCGGGCCTGCGTCGGGCCCTTCCTTCCACCGGCGCAGGAGAGCATCACACCTCCTTTCAGCTGGAAAAGCTGTGCTCCGAGGAGCCGGGGCACCGGCTCTGGGAGGGTCACGTCCCCCTCCCGCTGGACTGCAGCCTCCTGAGCAAGCGCAGGAGGCTGGGGAGGAGCGGCCAGGGACCAGCCAGATGAGCCTTTGAATCCACTTACGGGGTCCCGAGACCCTGAGCTCCCGTGGAAGGTGCGTACAGCTGGGCACAGGTGGACAGGAGGCCAAGCGGGCCTGGGCCGAGGAGCCCGCAGCCCGGCGTGGGGGCGTCCTCACAGCCCCGCTGCCGACGGTCCTTTCCTTGGGATTTGCACTCTTTGAAATAGCACTGCACTGAATTTCTGGAAATTTGATATATATTCATATCTCCTGAGAACACGCAGTGTATGTCTTTCTTGTTAGCATTTTGTGTGTTCACATCCTAAACAACTTGACTGAGGTATGACTGACGCACAGGAACGTGCACACGTGTAAAGTGCACGATCTGATGGAAACCCAGCGCCATGATCAAGGGAGCAGCATCCCGGCGCCCCTGCCGTCTCCAGGCAACCACCGATTCGCGCGCTGTCACTGCGGTGAGTCTGCATCTTTCGGGAGGTGCAGGTGGAATCCTACGGCCAGGCTCTGCTCTGCCTGGCTTCTCACCTGCTGCCGGGAGATGCATTTGTGCTGCCAAGTCGTCCTCCACGCACAGGGCGTCTGCAGGGTTCTCTCCGCTCCCCGCCAGGGGACATGTGTTTTGTTCCCACTTCGGGGCTGTTACAGACGGAGCTGCAGTGAGCACTCATGCACATGTCCTTGCAGGGGTGAAGGCCTCCATTCCTCCAGGAGT